TGTGTGTGTGTGTGTGTGTGTGTGTGTGTGTGTGTGTGTGTGTGTGTGTGTGTAAGAAATAGAGTGTGAGAAGGCAGAAGGATTATGGCTGGGGATTGTGAAAATGGACCCACCTACATGAGAGCAGGTACAATGTAATGGCTGAAACATTGAACTACAGCAGAGTAAATGTTTACATGAATGCACCGGTTTGTGTGTGTGTGTGTATGCATAGAGAGTTGCATATCATTTTCCAAGGAAAACATGAATGTGACATTATATTCCCATATAGAAGATTGTGTGTGATGTACATGCACTCTCTCTCACCTTGTTAGGAAGGCTAGGAGGAGGCCCACTGGAGGTCATGCCCAAGGCTTGCGGGGGATCAGACTGAGTTGTCCCACTGATCATAGCTCTATTTTATCAATTTATCAACCGTAGAGGTGGCCCAACTCGCTCTCAGACATTTTGTTTGTAACCTTAGAATCACCTTCTGAGGATAGCCTGAGAGAACTGGTGATGGGCTAAATGTAGCCAGAATATGATTTGTTAATGTGTTGCATGAATACAACCATGCGAACAAGAGCTGACTATTAAATACACACGGTAAACCCTGCCTGCCATGCAATGAAGCAAACTGTTTATTGATGGATCCAATAATTCAAAATTTAAATCTATGGTTATTCCTTGTCTGGTTTTAATCATGAATTAGTGTATCTTCACTTGCTCGTATAATTTTATGGGGCATTGTTATTTGTACAGGTAGTTTTGAACTTAACTTAACTACAGTTGGGACCACAATTTTTATTACTGTGCAAGGCAGTTATTAAATGAGTCATACCCAGTTTTACGACATTTTTTTGGCACAGTTTTTAAGCAAACCACCACAGTTCTGAAGTGATCATGCCTTCATTAAGCAAATACAGCTTCTCTCCATTGACTTTGCTGGTTGGAAGCTGGCTGGGAAAGCTGCAAGTAGCAATCCCATGACACTTGTACGCTGCAACCTTTGTAAAAACGTGTTTGTTGCAAGCACCTGAATTTTTATCATAACACTAGGGATCCTGCAACGTTCGTGAGTGCAAGGATGGGTCGTAAGTCACTTTTTGCAGGGCCGTTGTAACTTTGAATGATTGCTAAATGAATGCTGTAAGTGAAGAACTACCTGTGTTATGTCTTTTTTTTAAAAAAAAGTTTTTTATTTTTATAACAAACAAAACAACAAATAAACCTTATTTCAATTATACAGTGTGTCGGTTTGGTACATACATCACGTGCACAGTATCTATAATCCTTTTAACTTTACATTCATATTATATTCTAATCAACATTCCATATCATATTATATCATTAAAGTTTTAATCTCAATTCCAGGCTATTTTTTAAAGCAAATCTCAACTCTTAATAAATTATATTCATATTGTAATTTATATGCTGTCGACATTGTTAATTTATAGTTTCTAGTCCATAATTTCTGCCTTTTATCCAAATCTATCCCATATCCAAAAATTTCCCCTCAAGCAATCATCGTTTCTTTAACTTCTTCTAAATTCACTCCTAATAAATAACCATAAAGTTTTTAAATCATTTTCTCCTCAGTACCTGTTAAAATTGTATCTAATTCGGTAAGTTCTTTGTAAAACCCTTCTGTCTTACTATCTTTATCATATCTAGAATGTATTTGCACATATGAGTACCAATTCATCTTTATCTCTTGTCCGTCTAGTTCTTGCTTTGTTTTGAGTTCACCCCTTTCATTTAATATTTCACTATATCTAACTATGTGTTCCATTTTAAAAACAACTGGATATGCAAAAGCCTCTATTGTTGATAACTAGACTGGTATTTTCATATAATGTTGTTTTCTTATTTTCTCCCATGTTGACAATAAAGCATCTTGAATGTAATGCCTCCTGAAATACCCGTGTGCTTTATTTTCCTTATACCATAAAAATGCATGCCACCCCAATTGCAAATCATGACTTTCCAGCATTAACAATCTAGTATTTCTCAGAATAATCCATTCTTTCACCCATATCAATGTTACTGCCTGGTAATATGATTCCTAATTGGGTGATCCAAAACCACCTCTCATTCTAGCATCCTGTAACAGTTTTAATTTAATTCTTGCCTTCTTTCCCTGCCATATATATTTAAATATTATTTTATTTAAGTCCTCAAAGTATTCTTTCCCTAATTTAATTGGAATTGTCTGAAACAAATATAATATCCTTGGTAGTATGTTCATTTTGATTGTAGATATTCTCCCTATTAGAGATAGTTGTAAAATTTCCCACTTTTTCAAATCTGTCGCAATCTGTTTTAATTTATAATAATTATCTTCCATTAATGTCCCACATCTTGCTGTTAATTGTATTCCTAAATATTTTACTTTGTTTGTGATCTGGATATTCCGCCTGTCTGTCAATTCTTTCCTTTGCCTTTTGATCATATTCTTAATTAAAATCTTAATTTTATCTTTATTTATTTTTAATCCTGCCGCCTGTCCATCTTTTTCAATCTTTTCTATCGATTTGGGCGCTGTTTCCAATGGTTCCTCCAATATAAAGACCAGATCATCTGCATATGCTTGTAATTTATATTCCTCCTTTTTTATTTTCATTCCCTTTATTTCTCTATTATCCCTGACATTTCTATTTAATACCTCCAAAGTCAGTACAAACAGCAGTGGTGACAGAGGGCGTCCTTGTCTAGTTCTTTTTTTAATGTTAATATTATCTGTCAAATCTCCATTTATCATTACTTTTGCAGATTGTCTATAATACTGTATATTGCCTCAATTGCCTTAATGAATCTTTCTCCAAAGCCCATCACTTCCATTTCCAATAACATAAATTGCCAATTTACATTGTCGAAGACTTCAAATGCCTCAAGGCTGGTATTTTCAGATAATGTTGTTCCCTTATTTTGTCCCATGTTGATAATAAAGCATCTCGAATATAATGTCCCTGAAAATATCCATGCGCTTTACTTTCCTTATACCATAAAAATGCATGCTACCCCAATTGCAGACCATGACCTTCCAATACAGTCTAGTATTTCTCAAAACTATCCATTCTTTCATCCACATCAGTATTACTGCCTGATAATATAATTCCCAATTGGGTAGTCCAAAACTACCTCTCATTCTAGTGTCCTGTAACAGTTTTAGTTTAATTCTTGTCTTCTTTTCCTGCCATACATATTTCAACATCATTTTATTGAAGTCCTCAAAGTATTCTTTCTCTAATTTTATTGGAATCCTCTGAAACAAGTATAATATCCTTGGCAGTATATTCATTTTAATTGTGGATATTCTCCCTGTTAAGGATAGTTGTAAGTTTTTCCATTTTTCCAAGTCTCACAATCTTTCTTTAGTCTATAATAATTATCTGTATCTGAAGTTTGTGTCTCTTTCAGGAAGGGATTTCGGCAGAAACCGCCACCGATCCTCAAGTATTTACAGGGTATCCTTCGCAAATACCCGGATGGAGGGCAGATATTAAAGGTGGGTTTGTGAGAGTTAAGGACTGGATTTTTTTATCTTTGCAAATATTGACAGAGAAGTAGACTCCAGCTGCATTGTTTGTCCGTTCATTCAATGATTCATTCATTCCATCACGTTTATCCATTATATCATCTCCTATAAATGTAATTCAATGTATCTGCAAACTATTTTTGGTTTGTTTCGGTTAACTGAATGGTTAAATGCAACTATACACATATAAAGATAAGTGCAATATTGCATTTTGATGCAAGGAACATGATTCCTCATTTTGGAATATTCCACAATTTATTTGTCAGCAATATCTAAAGAGCAGTTTTGTTTTCCACACGAAAAAAAAGTAAGAAAAGTTGTCCTTTATATGTGTAATATATTTTAAAATATTTCTGAAAAATTATAGCACTTTTTATTTGTTTAAAAAGATATGAATCTAAGTAAATAGCTTGATGGTAAGCCTCTCTGGGTAATGTGGGACTTACTGCTAGGTAAATTCACTGCTCAAAAAAATAAAGGGAACACTTAAACAACACAATGTAACTCCAAGTCAATCACACTTCTGTGAAATCAAACTGTCCGCTTAGGTAGGAACACTGACTGACAATCAATTTCATATGCTGTTGTGCAAATGGAATAGACAACAGGTGGAAAGCCTAGGCAGTTAGCAAGACATCCCCAATAAAGGAGTGGTTCTGCAGATGGTGACCACAGACCACCTCTTAGTTCCTATGCTTTCTGGCTGATGATTTGGTCACTTTTGAATGCTGGTGGTGCTTTCACTCTAGTGGTAGCATGAGACGGAGTCTACAACCCATACAAGTGGCTCAGGTAGTACAGCTCATCCAGGATGGCACATCAATACGAGCTGTGGCAAGAAGGTTTGCTGTGTCTGTCAGCGTAGTGTCCAGAGTATGGAGGCGCTACCAGGAGACAGGCCAGTACATCAGGAGACGTGGAGGAGGCCATAGGAGGGCAACAACCCAGCATCAGGACCGCTACCTCCACCTTTGTGCAAGGAGAGACAGGAGGAGCACTGCCAGAGCCCTGCAAAATGACCTCCAGCGGGCCACAAATGTGCATGTGGCTGCTCAAACGGTCAGAAACAGACTCCATGAGGGTGGTATGAGGGCCCGATGTCCACAGGTGGGGGTTGTGCTTACAGCCCAACACTATGCAGGACGTTTGGCATTTGCCAGAGAACACCAAGATTGGCAAATTCGCCACTGGTGCCCTGTGATCTTTACAGATGAAGGCAGGTTCACACTGAGCACATGTGACAGACGTGACAGGAGACGCCGTGGAGAACGTTCTGCTGCCTGCAACATGGCAGTGGGTCAGTAATGGTGTGGGTTGGCATTTCTTTAGGGGGCCACACAGCCTTCCATGTGCTCACCAGAGGTAGCCTGACTGCCATTAGGTACCAAGATGAGATCCTCAGAACCCTTGTGAGACCATATGCTGGTGCAGTTGGCCCTGGGTTCCTCCTAATGCACGACAATGCTAAACCTCATGTGGCTGGAGTGTGTCAGCAGTTCCTGCAAGACAAAGGCATTGATACTATGGACTGGCTCGCCCATTCCCCAGACCTGAATCCAATTGAGCACATCTGGGACATCATGTCTCGCTCCATCCACCAACGCCACGTTGCACCCCAGACTGTCCAGGAGTTGGGGGATGCTTTAGTTCAGGTTTGGGAGGAGATCCCTCAGGAGACCATCCACCACCTCATCAGAAGCACGCCCAGGCATTGTAGGGAGGTCATACAGGCACGTGGAGGCCACACA